GTAGAATGTAGGGTTTCCATATTAGGAATTACTACTATGACTTAGGGAAGCATCCCCCATAACAGTACATAGCACCCTTTGGGTTGGGGTTCCATGGCAGTTTAGAGGCGGGCAAGCCGAGAACTCAGGGATGTGATGACTTTGGTTCATCGCTGGTCCCCGCACATTGCCCCCCCCCCCCTCCGTCAACGCAGCATAATACAGGGGTCGGGTCGGGATGATCAGGAGTAGTATCTCTTTGTAAATCACTCCAGTTTACCCCAGGCCAAAGACCTAGGGCGCCCGATATCATGTAGACTTCTACATACTCGTACAACGTGGTGTCTTGCCGAGTTTTTGCAAGGAAAGAAGATGCGCATTCTGCAAAGATAGTTTCTGGTCCTGATATGACATTGAGAGCTTTCTCTCCCAGTTGAGGATGATTCCGTTTTCAAGGGCTCCTGACAGAAAAGGTCATTTGCAGCAGCAAAATGACGATGCCCTACAAACCCGAGGTTCCCAACTTAATCCCCCGTGCAAATCATCATAGGCCCCCTTATCAGCCTTATCAGGAGTCCAAGCCACAGTGGCACAGTGCCAAAAAAGAAAGAAGGTTGAGGCTCTTGTGGAATTAGGACTGCCCAGCACTTTCGAACGCCTGGACACACCGTTAAATCCAAAAGGCTCAAGCCCGACGGCCCCGAGCCACGAACACCAAAAGCCATGTGCGCTTAATAAATCTAAACCTCGAACCACCTTCAATCAATGAAAAGCATTGCAAGCCTCACCTCAAGAAGAAGCAGGCAACACCTAGCAAACAAAGAAAACAGGAAACACCCACAACAATACTTTCCTGGGTTCTTGTTAAATTGAGAAATGTTTTCATAATCGGGATCTGTAGTAAATGATATGGTGTCTTTATTATGGTAACTTAGATTGAGTCCCTTATAACAAGAAGCCCTAAATCCTAAGCCCGAAACCGTAAACCCCTAAACCCTATAACCCCTAAACCCTATAAACCCTACACCCGAACCCTAACTCAGTTTCAGGGGCTTTTGGACCATGGAGCCGGAGAGAGCGCTCCGGCGGCTCCTGGGCAAGCTCGGTGCAGCAGCTCAGTTGGGGGTTTAGGGGTTTAGGGCCTTTAAAGGGATCTATAAGGGATCTACGAGGGTACTATAATGGGGTTTAAGGTTTATGCAACGGTTTAGGGTTGAAGATTTAGGGGTTAGGGCGGGGAATGGTTTCAAAGCTGTCGGGATTTCGGTTAGGGTGTTGGCGGGCGGGTTGGTGTTTTTTTGTTTTTCTAATTTTTTGTTTTGGGGTTTTGAAGGTTTAGGCATTTGGGGTCATAGGCGGTTTCGTTTCAGGGCTTTGGTTTTGTTTATTATGGCTTAGGATCCATATTTCGTTTTGGACCTGGGGAGTCAGGGCTTTCTTTTTGGGCTGTGGGATGTTGCTTTTGGGATTTGGGAGTTCGGGTTTAGAGCTCCATAGAGCTTTGGAATCAGTCACCGCAGGGCCAAAGCCCTCAAACTTGTGGTAGTAGTAGTGGTTTAAGACAGGTGCCTTAGTCGTTACACAGGATTGTAGTATAATGTACCCCGAAACCCGACTTCAGTTTTGAAGGCGCCTACGTTCTGAAATTTCAGGGCTGAGAGTGTTAGGCTGTCGGGTTCAGGGGCCGGTTTAGGGCCTGCTGTGTTGGGGTGCCGTTGTAGATTTCAGATTCCGGGTGTATATATATATATATATATGTATATATATATATATATATTTATTTACATATTATATTCATATATACATATATATATATATATATGGAGAGAGAGAGAGAGAGAGAGAGAGAGAGAGAGAGAGTTTGTGGGATTAGGATTGAGGGTCCGAGACGCTTTCTCTGTGCAACAAACGGCAAAGATGACTGGCTTCTTGAGTAACGACTCCTTGCATTCCTGGTCAACCATGAAGCGTGATCAGCCCCTTGCCCTAGTCCTATCGCAAGCAACATCCCTAAACCCACTGACGGTGCACAAACGCAGCAGCTAAGAAGTGGATCAAAAGGGAAGCCAGTACTAAAGAAGCCTCTTGGGAACTCTCAGATGCCTGCCACAACGGCCTCCAGCTGGCCTTCGGTACTCTGCCTCGTGGCTGCAGTGCTGTCAGGCCTCGAGGTTTGAGGTTGATGTTCGGATTTAATATAAATTTTGGGCCTTAGCTACCATGTTCAAGGCTGGTTCAGGGCTTGGGGTTTACCTAGGCACTAGTTCCTGAAAACGAAGAGAAGCCCCAAGCCATGACCACGCAAAAGGAGGATTCTTCATAAATCCCCAAACCGGGGTCGTTTTGTCAAAGAGCCGTATGCTTGCCGGGCTTGGAGCGTGCAAAAGGTGTTAGGGATTGGGAAAATAGGGGTCAGCGAGGTGCAGGGTCGGGGGCGCTGGCGTTTTGGGTCCCGGACAAGTGTGTGCCTACCTATTGCTTCTACCATCTGTTTTGCTTGCATCAGGCGTTGCTACCCTATAGCCCTGAACTCAAAACCCTTCAGTTGCAAGGATTTCCGGGACCTTAAAACACCCGATAGCAGCGCCCTCCTAGCAGCGACTGGGGCGAAGGTCACAGCGATCTCTGCTACACCGAGTCTGGCAGACATGGGCGCAACCCCCAGATCTCTGCAAGCCGATAAGCCCGAAACCCTAGACGCCCTCGACCATAAAAGAACGTGCATGCATACTTGACATTCATACTCATACAGTTCAGTAGGTGTGTGTATATATATATATGTATACACACGTAGCCAGAGAGAGAGAGAGAGAGAGAGAGAGCTAACAGAGTACAGACCCTGAGCCTTCTGAAACCTCTGTGTATATCCAAAACACGCTAGGCATTTTGTCCGACTGGCTGTAATCCCTTAACCCAGAATTGCTGACTGTTTCGTGTTTGCGCGTTTCAGGCTTGTAGATACACTCCCACTAGTTACCGTGGAGCATCCGTCGAGCCCAGCTTTGTTGTAAAGGTCTGTCGGCGAATGCAGTGCCCAGAAAATCTCCCACTCTTCCTAATCTTCCATGGAGGAAGGATTCAGCGGTAGCCTAGATCTTGAACCCCGGCAGCCTTAAGTGGAGGCACGCAAAATGCGTTCCCGGCGGAAGGCAGAGGACTGCTGAAGCTTGCGGTTTTGAGATATCGGCTTCAGGTTCTGCAATAATTTAGTATTGAGATCTGTCTGACATTTAAAATAGTAAAAGCAATCTTCACCATCCACTTACAATTTCTGTTCGACGGCCCTTCGTTAGGCACTTCGGGTTTAGGTCAGCTGGTAGGTTCGTGCTTAGCAGGTCTAGGGGTCTTGCAGGGTCCTGCAGGGCTTTCGTATTGGATTCAGCAGTCGATTGGAACTGCGGCCCTCTGATTGACCCCTTCTTAGCCCCAGACCGTACCCTAAACCACTAAACCTGAAACCTGTAAACCTTCGCAGGTTACATCGCATTACCGGTTTCTTGCTGGGGGTGCATAGGATTTCGGCACTGGGTTGGATTTCAGGTCGGAGCTGTAGCCCTGGCAATTGAATAGGATTTCAGGATGAGCTCCAACCTCCGAACACCTTGTGATCGAACATGCGTCGCAGACGCCAGAAACGGTCCTTCAGTCCTTGTAGATTGTTGGACTTTCGTATGCTGAAGAATGAACCCCAAGGTGTCCTGCAGCTGTAAAGGACCGTCCTAGTAGGATGTATGTGTGTATTTCCATTCGACCGCACGGGTCCATGGATGAGTGCGCTCGTACACAGGTCTGAACAATTAGTGCGAACATCCTCCTGCATTCCCCACGGAGTTTTAGTCTGTACCAATCTCCCCCAAAGCCTTATTCCAATTATTGCCCACACAAAGTGCGATTTGTCGGCTCCAGGAAATGTACTTGGCCTGCCGCAAGACATCAAACAACGCGTCCGGGACTGAGGTGTGAAAGGATGTGCACCCCCGAACTACCCTGAACCCTTAAAGCTTTAATCCTCTAGTCTCCTCGGGCTACCCTTAAACCCCATCAAACCCAGGAGAAGAGGACTTCCTAAAACAAATCTAACCTAAACCCTAAACTCCCCATACTGCCCTTATACAGAGCCCGTAAAGGAACCCTTAAGGGAACGTTACCGGAACCCTCAAAAAAAGAAGCCTTGAGCCCTGAACCCTCCCCCAAGGGTCCAAGGGATAGTATTGTAGATACTCTTGGGGCCCAAATATCTACGAAGTGCCTACTTATAATGGTAGCATAGGGGTCTTAATATTTCGTTTATCGGGTTTTGTGGTTTACTATACTATAAATAAGGAACACCCGAAGTACTATAGGTAATTATTCAGGCCCCTATCCTAAACCCTAAACCCTATAGATCCCTTGAAGGAACCCTTACGGATCCCTTTGAAGGCCCAGATACTAAACTCCTATGATACCCCTTCTAGTAGCCCTTATAGACCCCCTTTCTAAAGGCCCCCCAAAAGTAGGACCAGCCTCTAGGATCCCTTTGAAGGCCCCTATTCAATGGCCTTTTTATTTACTTGGACCTTTTGGGCCTCCCAGGCTGCCTTCGCTTTGCTTAAAGCTCTGGGCCGCTGCCGTAGCGGAGTGGCGCGGCGAGCGCCGCTGCCGCGCGAGGCCTCGGAATCGGAGTTTCAGGGTTCAAGGTTTAAAGGTTCAGGGTTTTAGGGTTCAAGGTTTAGGGTTTAAGAGATCAGGGCTTAGGGTTTAAGGTTTAATTAGGGTTTAGTGTTTAAGGTGTTTTTCTGAAGTCTCCCTTGTGGCTCCTTTTTTGGACTAACAAATTTTTATGGGTAGGATCCCCTTGGGTAGGTTGGTTGGTTGGTTGGTTGAAAGACACAAGTGTGACATCTCAGGGCAAAGAGATGAGGGGGGGGGAAAGAGCCTTGGGTGCTTGCACCGACAGGTGCCCCGACCCCCAGAAAGCCGAAGCAACTACCGCAGCAGCGCTTAATGCCTCTGAGGGCCTCCTGTCTCAAGCACTCAGGTTTTCATGCCTCTGCAGGATGCCCGTGCCGTCGCCAGAATTGGCGCGCACCTTCGCATACGGCCCTTGCGAAAGCCACGATGTCCGCGAACCGCGGGTCACTGGGCAGTACAGCAAGATCTTCAAGGTTGCTGCAAGGCCTTCGTGCCGGAACTTGCTCACATCTGCCGATCACATGTGCATAGATGCTGGTGTACCTCTTGTTGCAGAAGATGCAGTGGCGAACGGACGCTCTGGATGGCTTGAAATCAAGGTGTCCTAGCATGATGAAGCCGCAACGCAAGAGCAGCAGGTCTCGGTGCCCCACCAGGGTCCCCCAAGGGAGCTGCAGGCGGAAAGCATCCTGTACCTGAGAAGATGGCTCTTGAGCGACAGAAAGGTACCTGAGAGGCACCACGTGTTTCGCCACCTGCATCTTCCACCTGGCCAGAGATACCTGGAAAACCACATCTTTCACATACGCCGAGTACGTGCCATGGCTGCGTCTGCAAGTGGACCACACCGGCCAGTCTAAGACTGTCCATTCCTCCAAAAGTATGAGGGAGGTCTTTGCCCAATTAATGGACTCAAGCAAATGAGCAGCTGAGAAACACGCCCCTGCAAGAGTGTCTTGATTCTGCAACCACAACGAGTGCCTAACGGAAGCGACCTCGATGACAACTTTACCATGTGTGCACAGCTTCCAGCCCAATTCTGCCCTGCAGACTTCTGCGGACCTCCAGCGGCTTGTGCCCAGCAGTAGCCGTGCCCAAGACGCGTATGCATCAGAGAGCACAGCGACTGCTTCGCTTTGGGTGCCCCAGAGCCAGCGGCCAAACCTGAGGGCAGCTTCTACCTTCGTGTCGAAAATGATGCACGCAACGGCAAGAGGGATGTGCCCGGAACGTAGCAGGCCACACAGAGCTTGCACAGTGCCGCTGCACATGCCACACGCCCTGCGAGCGTGGAAGGCAAAATCAGCATTGTCATTCCAAGAGATGCCAAGCCATTTGTGTGAATTTGTCCACGAAATAGGGCAAGGCATGCTCTGGCCCACAGGCAGGTAGCGCAGGGGCAGCACCTGAACTCTAGCACTGTCTGTGCTCGCAGGAAGGACCATGGCAGACGTCTTAATATAAATTGGGTACGGCACCCACTCAGTAATAGTTGAATAATATTCATAACATAGATATATTAGGACCTCAACAGTAGCCCTATTATAGACTCGTACTGCAAGGGGGCAGTACATAAAATATAAAATAGGTTAACCCAATATCAGCTACAAAGGAGACTTTATGCACAAACTGAGGAGGTTGAGACTTAGTTTTCCAGACTTTTGGCTTCAGCCTCGTGGAAACCCACCCAAAATAACATGGTTTTGAGTTCGGTGTTATGTTCCTTGTTTCTTTCCTTCAAGGGCATAAGTCTTGGGGGTCAGGCTTTTGAGCTGGGTTGAGGCTTCAGGAGGTAGATTCAGGGCTTTGCGGCGGGGCTTCATCTCGTCTCAGCAGAACAGGCATCGAATGAGATGATCCCCCTTGAAGTCATTGAAGGCCGCTGTTCCTGTGACTGCTGCTGCTGGCGAGACAGCACATTCCAACGTAGAAATCCAGAGTAGAGGAAGGCATGGCTGCATGGAGGAATGTCTTTCCAAGCTTTATGGATCGGCCTTTTGGGCATCCTAAATCATACTGTAGACCCCATATAATTAGAATATACAAAACCCTAAGCCCTACCTTAGAATAGGTAAGCCAGCTTAATTTGTGTGTGGAGTCTGAGTTCCAGCCATGATCTTTCGGCTCGAGGTTCACGTGCACAATTTGTTGGACGGTGACATAGATTGGCTGCGCACTTCCTTGCTCTCATCTGGATCCACAGCGTTTCTTCTACACTCACTTGCCGTTGGGGCAAAAGGACTGTAGGCTGTGAGTGGCGATTTGCACGGATATGCAGCTGTATTACGTTGGGTTTACAATCGCTTGCTAGGTCTAACATCTCATTCTAGCATAGGGCACGCCCGTAAGCCCTAAGCCTAATATTATAGGCTGGGGTAATGGAAGTGCAATTCCACAGGCGCAGTGCAGTGGCCGGTACGGTACTCAGCATCGAAGTTTGGTGTCAGTTGGTCTGCACTGTCTGTAAGGGGATGTCGGCTAATCATGAAGGGCTATGCGAGCTCGGAATTACGGTTTGAGACGGGGGATGTTTAGGCATCTTTGCAGCGTTTCAGAGATCCAGATTGTTTCCTATGCTTCGGGGTAGTTGCGGGCTTCGAGTGTTGACACGCGCAATCATCTTTTGGGAGCTTGTCCGGATTGTCCCAACTTTTTCGCGAATGACTCTACCAATCTGAAACGCAGAATACTCGTACTAGCTCAAGAGCATTGTGCTGTGAGGAAACCTTCGCAGTTTTACTATCCGTTACAAGGTCCTTCATGATCTGCAGGTATCTAAACATAGTCCGGTATAATACAGCCCTTAAAGTATACCAGCTATTGAAACAATCGTCCCGCTGCAAGCCTTGCCGACAGACTTTGACTCCAACACGACAGCTGCATGCCACTGCCTGCAGGCAAGATCTTGCAGAGGTGGTGGCCTTAGTAAAAAGTCGGAACAAAGTCTATATGTTCAGGCGTTGGCGGCGATCTTTGCGTGGTTTACATCTCAAGCGCGGATGCCCCAAATACGCTGTTGGGGCGTTTTGTTTATTTAGAGTTCGATTTCAGGATTTTGCATCTGCGGGAAACTTCCACAGTTCTGCTTGTGATGCAGTCCATGAACCCAAGAATCCAACCCTAAATCCTGAACGTCAGCTCTGAATCCCAACCCTACCACCACATTGGTGTTTCACAGTTTTCTGGACGTTACGGCGGCAATGCAGTTCATATTGGCCAGCACCTCTCAAATGTTGCACATCTCCAGCAGTAAACTGCTAAAGTGTCGATACGGAAGCCTTCATGTGGCGCATCCGAAACCACCCTGCAGCTGCTTTTTGTAATGGTTGACCACTACATGCATTTGTATGCGCGAGCAGGGCCGTGATCGGCTTCGACGCTGGAACTTTAGCACTGGCCGCGTGGCGTGGGAATTCATTTAAAGGGGAAGCTTTGTTCTAAACACCTTGAACAGACCCCTAAAATGTTCCATGGCATTTAATACAGCTACCCATAGGCCCCATAGTAGTTCCCTTTTGGGAATGCCTTATAGAATTGTAATTTTGAGCCCCCAAACAGGAACCACTATGGGGCCTATGGGCACAGCCATAAGTTTCAGGCGGACTTCCAGCCCAGAGGCTGGTGCTGAAAGGGACGGACTAGCGCTCGCTTGAGGTGTAGCTGGGGTGGAGGTTTCAAGGGCTGAGATTCGTCGGTTAAAACTGGCTCAGGACCTCGTATGGCTGGTTTCAAAGCCCGCTTCATTCAAGAAAGAGCTCATGGTTTAGGGTCTAGGGTTTGATTTGAGGTCTACTGTAGGGTTCATAGGGCTTTGTTCAGGTAAGGGTGCATCTGACTGGCGGGCAGATCTCATTCTTTCGGCCTCGGGGCAACCATGAGGTTTCACAATTGTCCCGGCTTGCTTTTAAGACGTGGGAATCATGTCCATCAGTCTTAGTAGTAGTAGTAGTAGTAGTAGTATAGAGAAGCAATAGTAGCAATGATAGAAGTACAAAACCACGACTTCAAAAATTTGAACAATAGTGCATCAATAAAGGTAACAATACGGACCTGTCAGACACCCTTTCTTTCGTAGTCGCTGCTCGCCCGAGGCCTTCCACGAATGGCGGCGGCTGCGATGTACGGCCTGGCGCAAGGCGTGGGTTTAGGGTTTAAGGTTTGAGGATCGTAGGGTTCTTTTGTATCATGTCTGCCAGTTGATGAAAGTTTGCGTTACAATCATAGTATAAGGGGATGTGGCTTCCTAACAGCTCGTTTGCTGGTATATCTACAGATTAGAGTATATGGAGACTGAGGATCGTATCGGGGTTAGATGCCGAAACTACGCAGTTTTCAGATCTAGAGCATATCAAAAGAAGGGACTTATACTGCATTAAACTACCATAACCTACTTTTTTGTAGGTCCTCAATATAAACCCTAATATGGGATTTGTAGGGACCCTACAAGAATGTAGGTTTTAGTGGGCCACTGTGGATGCTGGATATCCAGACTCTTACGCCCTAAATCATAAGCCTTCAAACCAAGCCCTCGCCCTCAAAAAAGCAAGAAAGCTTAAACCCTAAAGCCTTAAGCCCTAAAACTGAAACTAACACCCTAAACGTTATGAGCCCTGAACACTAGAACCTGAAACCCTAAAACCCAAAACCCTCAAACCCCAAAACCCTAAACCCTTAAAGCCGTAAACCCTAAAACCCTAGAGCCCTAAACCGTGAAACCCTGAACCCTAAAACCCTAAACCCCTAAGACCCTAAAGCCCTAAAGCCCCAAACGCCTGAACGCTAAATTCCTGAAGCCCTAAAACCTAAAACCCCAAGACCCCAAAACCCTAAAACCCTAACACCTAAACCCTAAGCAAACCCCCACACTGTGAGAGGCCAACGGACTTCCCGCGAAGCGCTACGGCCCAGCTCTCAGCCTTTCGCGTGAAGGTCGGCTTTTTCGTTTGGGGTTTCGGGTGTAAGGGCTGTAGAGTTGAGGGATTTAGGATGTTAGGGATTTAGAGTTTAGGGTGTTAGGACTTTAGAGTCTACGGGTTTAGGGCGTTAGGGTTTTGGAGTTTAGGGTTTTGGGGCTTAGGACTTAATCTAGAAGCCGAGAGTTGGAACAACATGAACTGATGCTCGTAAGGTGCTTAGAGAAATCCTAGTAGCACCAGGACTCGTAGCAAGTCCTAGTACTAGTCATCCCTAATTATTGTTCCATTTTTCTGGATTTGACCCCTTGGTTTAGTATGATATAGCGGCCTGACTATTTGGTAGCGGTGCCCCCATCATAGTCCCTATATAAGTGTAGTAGATCTTATACCGAGCCCTCTTCTAGCTGGTAAGGCCCTTCTCTTACCTACATACTGGAGCTCGTTTAAGGCTGTTTTAACCATTGTAAGTAGTTTGAGAAGCAGGATGATGGAAAGCTTCGTCGAGCGCCAGAGCGTGCTCCGCGACTGCCCTGGGGATGGAGTTGATAGGGCTGTATACGATATATACCTGCTACAAGATACTTGGATGTATGATCATGTACTATAATACAGTATAACATACTATAACATGTGTTAGGGCCATGGTTTTGTATTGAGAGACATCTACGTTCGAATCACTTTTTCGTACCGAATCTACTATTTACAGAACCGGTACCTTCCGAGGTCATTCTGTATGCTTCCGTGCCTGGCAGCAGCGAACTCGGCGGTTGCGAGATCTACGGATGTGGCTGCCCAAAGAGGCCCCTTCTCCCCCTGCTTCTAACTTTCTGGTGAATTTAAGAAGGCCACTCCAGGCCGCCTACTTGCAGGGCTTGTAGTTTCGGGTGCGCCGGTTGAGCGTTCAGACTCTCAAGTCCCTTGGTTGGTGGACTGCGGGTTTTATGAGCTTGCTGGGTTCAGTCATGTGTGCATATCAGTTTATATATATATATACACGTACATACATACATGCATGCATATGTACATTTATTCATTCACATGCTCTCTATCTATCTATCCATCTATCGAGAGAGCGAGAGAGAGAGAGAGAGAGAGAGAGAGAGAGAGAGAGAGAGAGAGAGAGAGTGAGCGAGAGAGAGAGAGAGAGAGAGAGATAGAGAATATGACAAGCATTTCGGTCTCCAGGGTCCGACACTTCGCCGTGTACTGCTGTGTCTCACACTTGAGAGACCTGGGTGCTGAAAGTGTGGTTGAAAAGTTGCCTTCTGGAGAAATGCTTGCAGAGTTCCCTGTGGCTTCCTCGGTTGTATTAGGCAGACCCCTTAATGGGGACCGTTCTTTACCCTACTTCTGGCTTTCTTAAAAAGGACTTTATTGAGAGGGTCTCTTTCCCCAAAGGTTCCCATAATCCTGGCTCTTGTGGATGGGCTGGTAGCTTCAAAGTTCTTCAATGTGGAGAGTAGTTGTGGTGTGCCGCCATTGAGACAGCGGCTTATGAAGAGGGGTTTACAAGGGCTACTATATCGGGTATTCTGTAGCGGCTTAGTATACGGGCCTTGATAATTAGAATAGGCTTTTTTGGAGTAAATGATATGAAGGGGCTACAATCGGCTACAACTGTTCTGGGTTTTGGGGCTCAGAGGGGCTACGGTTTTTGGGCACAGACGGTTTCCTACTTTTTTTGTCTGCCACTGGTCGTGTACATGCTGTTTGACATGTATATTTATAGCTCGGGGAGTGGGTGAGATGTCCAGTACTACCCATAGGCCCCAAAGTAGTTCCTGTTGGGGAATACTTTATAGGATTCTATATATGAACCCCAAAAAGGAACTACTTTGGGGCCTCTGGGTAAAGATATGAATGTGGAAAGATATGCCCGGAAACCTTAGTCTTCTTTTGTTCAGGCAACATCTAGTACATCCTATCAAGCCTTAACTCTAAGTCCCTTCTAGTCCTGCGTGAAAAAACAGGGCCCTGTTCAAACCAGTCCCTGAACCCAAAACCCCAAAACCCATAAAACCCATGAAACCCTAAACCCTAAACCCTAAAAGCCCTAACTCCTAAACCCTAAAACCCTAAACCCCCTAAGCCCCTAACCGATCGAGAGCCTGGTGCTCGACAGGTCCGGGGACCGGCTGAGCGGCATCACGGTCGGATGACCCGGTGGGCCGCGTCTGTAAGCCTTGGGAGCTTAGGGCGACTTCAAGGAGGTTTCCTGCAGTACCCTAAACCCTAAACCCTAAACCCAAAACCCTAAACCCTAAACCCTAAACCTTAACCGTCCGTTTAGGGCTTAGGATGAGGGTTTGGGGTTTAGGAGGTTTAGGGCTCGTGGGGATTAGGATGTATTGCTCAAGTTTTTTTGGGGTTTGGAGTTTGGGGTTCAGTCTGGGGCTGAACTGCTCAGGAGTTCTTGTTTAGGAAGCTTCGGAGTTTGTGTAGGGTTCCGTGGGTTTGTAGGTTTAGCTGCTTTTGGGCTTGCGGGTTTGGAGATCGAACCAAAACACGGTTGCGGCTCTTAGGCCAGCAGCGTCAATCCGGTTTTTGAGTAGGGGACCACGATGGGCTGGACTTTGGAAGGAGAGCGATGTTCGTGGAAATGTGTAAGAGCTTGCATAAGTACGGCGTAGCAGACTAACCCTTAGTAGCCAGTATGAAATCAAGATTTGTCCATGTAGAAGCCTATCAATTACCATGCAGGCGCTGTTTTGCAGTATTATCTCCGAAACCCATTTTCTATAGAAGCCTATTAAGACGTTTCCAGAGCAGAAAAATGAACTACGTATGAGGTCACGGGCTGGCGTTCTGCGCCTGGCGCCGGCGAATCCGGCACCAGCGGAACGTTCAGGGCGTCCTCCTGAAGGAGGCACCGGCTGATCTCAAGTACCCCAGACTTAACATAGGTGGTGTTTAGGGATTACGGTTTAGGCGTTTAGGGTTTGGGGTCTATAGGGTTCAGGGAAGGGGCTCCAACGAGCACCTAGGCATCGAGTGTTGAAGCTGCTATATCTGTTTGTCGCAAGCTTCTGTTTATGTGCTTTTGGAGTTGTTCATGGGCTCCTACTTTCAGAAATCATGTCTGTATGAAGGGACTCGATTGGCAAGGGTTCTGGATTTGAGGGTTTCTGAAAATAAGAGACCCTAATATAGGACCCTAAATAATAGGATCCCCCTTGTAAGGACCCCAAAATAAGGTACCCCTCTTTTCTGAAACCCCCATATGGTGACTGTTGGCACTGGCTTCGAAGGCTCCAGGACTCCAGGACCCTCCTTGTACCCTCAAACAGGGGTATATGGTCCCAAATAAGGGGTATATGGTCCCAAATAAGGGGTATATGGTCCCAAATAAGGGGTACTTAGGGTCTAATAGAGCGTAGATGGAGGGTCTAGGCTTCGGAGTGGGGTTGGGTGGCAGCCATCTCGCATTGCGGCTCTGGTGCTACGATTCCATGGGGTTAACTTGGCAGATTCCCCTAAACCCTAAACCCTTTGGGTTTATTGGATTCGTCGTTCGAGGAGTCGGGAGTGTTTGGTTTCAGGGTTGTCTCGCAGCATGAACTCACGTGCACATACTCATTATCTGTGTATCCTGCGAGAACGGTTGATCCGTCATCGTTTGTATCACATTCGTGTGGTGTTTCTCCGTGTTGTGAGCTATTTTGCCATCTGTCGTTGCTTTACCAGGACCCTCCTTGTACCCTCAAATAGGGGTATATGGTCCCAAATAAGGGGCATTTAGGGTTTAATAGAGGGTGGATGGAGGGTCTAGGTAATCCCCGGGTTTTCGTGGGATGGATCAGAGTCACTCGGAAGTCAGGTCGAGGGCTTTTCGCCCTTCTACTTAGAGGTCCAGGGGACTTAGTAAGTCGGTTATAAGTAGGGTTATCATTGGGGTAACTCCATTTAGGGTACTTATAACTCTACTTATAACCTACTTACTAAGTCCCCTGGGCCTCGAAGTAACCCTAATCCCCCTTACAGAACCCTTATAGATCCCTTTTTAAGGAGCCCTTTAAGAACCTTACTACTTACTAAGTCCCCTGGGCCTCTAAGTCAAAGTATGGCTTCGGGTGGTGGCCCCTAGGCTGGGGTTGGATGCTTTGGTCTTCGCGAGCCACTGCCTCTCAAGTTTCCTGACAGACCAGCGTGGTGAGCTTTCCGACATGCTGAATGTGTGGTTGACTTCTGGAGAAATGTTGGCAGAGTTCCCCGTGCATGGGCTGACAGATGTAAAGTCCCTGAAGCAGGATTTGCGGAGGAAGTGTGGAGTGGCGCGATTCAGGCAGCGGCTTCTGAATGCTGGGGTCCTTATGGAGGATAGCACCAGGCTTGTATCAGCGATGGATGTGCAGCTTATCTTGCTTCCCTTCATCAGTGCCTCGGCAGACCAGCGCGATGAGCTCATCGAGAGCATCTACGAAGATGCTGTGACTAGGTTGGACTTTGAGACATGTTTCATTTTCCGTATTTGGGTTTATAAGGGGCCCTACATATATATATATATATATATGAATATTGTTCAGGGTGTTTCAAGGCCAACCCAGGTGACCCATGTTGAGGAGATCTTACAGCGACCCCAGGATCCCGACCTGACGGCTAGTGAAAGCGAGAACCCCTTGATGCTGCCCATCGTCTTTGCTGCCAGTCTAGGCCATACCTGGGGATCCAAAAACCTAATATTTTTTTTGTAAAAAAAAACATAATATTTTTAAGGGTTATCGGGTTTAGGGGTTTATCGGGTTTAGGGATTAGGGTATTGTCTTTGCTGCCCGTCTAGGCCACACTGAAATTGTGCGGCTATTGGCTGAGGCCGAGGCGGATATAAATGAACTCGGAGGCCATGGACATCCTGATCACTATCAAGAATCCGCCACGGCTCTCATAAAGGCCTGTGAGCACGGTCACTTGGAAACTTCTCGTGCGCTCTTGGAGCTTGGGGCCTTTGTGGATGAATATGAAGGGGCCGAGTGTGCGACAGCTCTGATCCGTGCGGGTGAGCAAGGGCACGTGAACGTCGTGCGCTTGCTCCTAGCGGCTCAAGCACAGGTCAACCAGCAACAGCGACGTGGCAGGACGGCTCTTGTCTGCGCGTGCTTCCGAAACCATCTGGAAACTGCCCGGGTGCTGGTGGAGTTCGAGGCTGACGTGAATGTTCCGGACAACCTCGGCATGACTGCATTGGGTTGGACATCTGGCGCAGGCCATGCAGAAGTCGTGCGCCTGCTGCTCCGAGCCAGAGCCGCCCCTGAACTGGAAACTTTGCCATAGTTGGGCAACATTTTACATTTTTATGGGTACCCAAACCCAATAAGGAATACAAATGTACTTTAATCCTATCCCAACAATGAGCTATAGGAAAGTGATGTCGGCCTTACAGCTGCTATGTGCGCATCCATGCGGGGCCATTCGGATATCGCAGGGCTTCTTCTTAAGGTTTGCGATGCCTCCAACCGTGCTCCGATGAAGGCAGCCGCAATTGCTGCCGCGTCTCTCATGGGCCAAACACGGACCGTACAGTTCTTACTGGATGCGAGAGCAGGAACGGACGTGCCAGACGGCGGAAGATGTGTTGCTGTCATCTGCGCTGCAGCGTCTGGTCATGTGGAAACAGTCCGGATTCTCTCGCAGGTCGGTGGGCGTGCGACCCGCCAGTACACTGATGACACCTTGGCGTTATTGAGCGCAGCTGATCGAGGCAACGTAGCGTTGGCATGTGTATTGCTCGAAAATGGGCTCTCGATGCACGCAGGCCATGCTGGGCTTCAAGCCCTCGTCTCTGCGTCTATCAATGGGCATGAAGAAATGGTGGCGCTGCTCCTGCAGGCCAAGGCTGGCGAAGATGTTGTCACTGACGGCGTCCGAGCGGCAATCGCGTGCCTCTGCGCCGCAAGCCAAGATCATCGAGGGCTCGGGGCATGGCTCATTGAGACGCACAGCATTGTGCGTGGAGAGATGGTGGGCAACGAGTGGCCGAAGTTGTGCCGCTTCTTAAATCCTGCAAGCCACGTGTGCTGATCTGTGCAAGGCCAGGAGGCGTTGTGTGCTGCCATTCCGCGCGACGGACACTGTTTTCACATGCCAAAAGTTCCCACTTAGTATCTAGAACCCTGAACCATCAAACTCAAATAATTACCCCTAGATCCCTTATAGCACCCCTATAGATCCCTCATAGTAACCCTTATAGACCCCCTTTAAAGGAACCCTAAATCCTAGAAACCCTATAAAGCCCCGAAGCCGAAGCCCTGAGCTGGACCATTGAGGTCGCCACGTCTGAAGACGGCCTGCGGCGGTTGGTGCTTGCGGCCGGTGCCCATGGAGGTTGAAGGTTTTGATGTTTAGGTTTATGATGTTTAGGGCTTAGGGGTTTAGGGATTAGGGTTTAGGGTTTAGGGTTCACCTGGACCCCAAAAGTATGTAGAATAATGACCTTTTATAGGTTTTGGGGTTCCCTAAACCCCTAAACCCCTAAACCCTAAGGCTCAAAATGACCCAAAAGCCTTATGCAATATGGCCTTATGCCCAAAAGCCTTAGAATGTGAGTCCTTAGAGCCTCAGGGTTAGGGTTTAGGGCTGATGGGGTTTAGGGTATATTGTTAATGAAATTATGCCCTAGACCTTAACCCCTAAACCCTAAACCAAAATCGAAGTCGCAACACAAGGAGACCCTAGTCTAAATCTTGGGGCTCCTATGTGGGCAGTTGTCAAAATTAGGGTCCCTTTTGGGGTCCCTGATATAGTAAGGCACCTAATATTTAGGGTACCCCAAAAGGGACCCATCATTTTGACAACCAACCATGTGAGAGTCTATAGAGATCTGGGGTGGATGATTGAGGGCCTAGGCGTATTGAACTTACTGCCAGTAGGTTCCTGCGAGGTTCCTGAGTAGGCATTTTGGGGTCTCCTTATTAGAACCCAAAAATTATCAAGGGGAACTCTTACTATTAATGGGCTGCTGGGCAGGAGCCATGTTTAGGATAAAGCGATACAGAATGTCTGCGTTATTTATAGGAGGGAAGTACGAAGTGGAGGCGAGCGACAATCGGACCAGATCCCTACCCTCAGCCTTACCAGGACCCTGCTTGTACCCTCAAATAAGGGTCTAGGTATATATTTGTAAAATTTTACATGGCATGAAGGGGGGCGTTACTTCAGGGTCTTCAGAATAAGGGTTTTGCTTACCTTCAGAATAAGGATTCGGATTTTAGTTGTCTTCAGAATAAGGATTTTAGTCAAAGGGCTTCTATTCGGGCCCTTTATGGATGATTAAGAGTTTACTCGGGCTTCAGCGTATAACCCCAACTCTTCAGCCCGTTTTGAAGTGTTCCTGAAGGCGGAGATAATGGGCGGTCACAGGAAACTCTCAGATGAACTTCGAGGTTTAGGGTGAGGGTTTGGCGTGAAACTTGGCCTACTTTCAAAGAACGTTGCTGGCGCACTCGACTAGGACATCAAGAATAAAGGCCACAGGCCAGGGCTGCGTAAAATTAACCCCTAGCTCCATATGTGGTTTCGGTTCCGCTCCATTTTCTCCGATATAATCCACAAGCCCTGGGTTCATGCGCAGCTGCGAGCTGGTATCCAAGGTGGCAAAGAACATGCTCTAGGATCGAACTTAATCGAGCAATTTGCTGTTGCGCATTTCTACGGTTAGAAGTAGGGGCCCCCCAAAATGGACCCTTACGAGTTTATGTATATAGTAGGCATATATGGATCCCAGGGTTAAGGGCCCATAGTAGAGGCCCATGGTTTCAACTGTTGCATGTGAATGCTGCCGATCGCTCTAGGTGGATTTGTGACTTTGTGGGCAGGGGCACAGGGACAAACGGGTGCTCGGTCCCATCTGCAGTGGCATGCACTTACCACCCACCTGCTGGAGTTGCTTTGCAACCGCTTGCCAAGCCTGAAGCGCCAGTGCTGCACTGTCTCTCAGCTCTTTACGAAAGAGCTTGGTGCTGCAGCTGGGCAACATGCCGCATCCTACGGCCTGGGCTTGGTCCACGTGCTGATCTACAAGGACTTCGTCAAGCTGGGGAAGTCCATCCTGGAAGCCAACGAGACGTCAGCTGGCGAGCTCGTCAAGCGTCTCGGGAGGTACAAAAATGACCTCGGGGGCGTGTCCCTGGAGTGTCTGCCGGTACTGTACGTGTGCCCGGGTGGAGACCACGCCCTCCACCTCGAGACGTACGTCCACTGATTTATGGCCTTGTTCGAGGCGGACTCCAAGATCTCCACGCCGGGCAGCGACACGGACCTGGAGAGCAGGGAGCTCTACACCAGAGCTTCGGCGGATCGCTTGATCGAGGTGTTGCACGAGGCTAGTACCAAAACTGTGTCTCAGCTCCGAAACAAGCCCAGCAAGGCTTGTGAAGAAAGCCGGATAGCGACGTACCCACAGACACCCGTTCATCTTCATCAGCGATTGCAAGACTATCCAGGAATCTAGGGCTTCTTATTCCCGCTTGAAACTATTTCTATTGTATTGAGCTCTCTGGTTAAGAAGCAACCTTGACCCGAGTCATTCAAGCCTGTCAGATTATCCCTTATGCCGAGGGCTCAGGTGCCCATATGAAGCATGTTACGTTGGCCTTACAGTAACTAGACAGGGGCCCTTTTTCAGGCTTAAGTAGACATTATATATATATATATATATATATATACACACACACACATAGACCTATAGATATAAATATAACCTGTATATACATATATATATATATATCTATAAACAAATAAATAAATAAACAAATAACCATTTAAATAAATGTATATATATACATATATGTGCATGAACCCGAAAAGTGCAACAGATCTCAGGCCTGGTCCGTGCGGCTACGCCACCGGCAAGGTCGGCGAAGAGGTCGGGAAGCCCAGTGAATTCTCCGGGTTACCGGGTTGTGTTACACCTCGAAGACCGAGTTGTGTTTACATCATAGGCTAAATTCTTCTGGCGATTTGAGGAGCAAGTTGCAGCCTAAGGTCCTAGAGCCGTCGTGGGGGTTGTTTATGTTCTGATTCCTTACAGCGTGGGATTGAAAGACGTGGTGGTTTGGATTATGTGGGTTGTGCACAGTTGACAAGTTGAACTTGATCGGGGTAAGCAGAAATCTTTTAAAACGATTGAAATGACATCCCCTGGGCTATATCACATCAGTGGTATGACGGCTATAACAGGCTATAACACTGAACCCTTACACACCGCAAACATTGACCCCTCAACCAAAGACCCTACGCCTCCCCAGCACCCCCAAAAGCCGGAAAGTGTTGAGCCGTGCTGGGAGTTTTTCTAAATAGTTCGATGAAGCGACAGAGATAGGCGCTCGATACGGTCGCCAAGCTTCTCTAGGGCTCTACAAGGCTTTTCAGGGCATTATGATAAGGGTGACCACAAGTAATGAAGTAGCAAGGCTTGTTTAGGGCATCGGCTATTAAATTGCAAATGCATCCTGTTTGCATTCTTGACTTTGCAGCATGGGGGGGTGGTATTTCTTAAGGTTCGGATTTCACGGTTGGCTTTCCTTACTGCTTGTAGCTTGCGGATGCTTGGGGGGTTCTGTTCCAGTTTTAACTGCTGTGGTTGGGACAGACCAGAGTTTTGGCTTCAAACGGTCTACGTAGAATTATCTAGTTCGGGGTTTTGTTTTGTGAAACAAGAAAATGTATTCTGCTTGTTCCTGCAGAACAGTAGTGTTTGTGATGTGCATCCAGGCATGATCCTTTTGAGCATGGAGCACTGCTTGACAATGCAGGAAGATTTGGCGCCTGGTGTGGTGTAGTTCAAGAGATATATTACTTTAGTAGCCCAGTTTGTTTTTGGCAGGTAGCTCCTACAAAGGCATCCAATCTGTATGATGGACCTTGACGATGTCGTGTTGGTCACGATCAGTCTGCACGGCCACGCGTTCAGCTTGAAATTGAAACCGCAATACTGCTTCCCGTTTCCTGGTCACACTATAATGCTTCTTCGAAATTGAATCTCCATTCTCGGGTTTACATGCTTTCTGATTTCTTACTACTGGTACCAGACATTGTTGGACCTCGAGACCTAATTCTGAACCCTACACCACCATATTGGAGTTTGGGCAGCACAGGCCCAATGAGGAAGCTCGTGACCAAATAAGACCGTTTTGGTTGACTGACACGGGACAACAGACAGTCTTCAAGTTAGATATTGTCCCGCATCCGCAGCTTCTGTCATTCAGCGTGTTGCAAATCCTTCGTAGTTCGTTGTCTAGGAATTATAAACTGTCTGTTCAATTGTCTCCAACTTGTCCTCTTGGTATGGTTTTGTGCTTGACTATTTCCTTCTTGCGAAGGGCTGTTCGAATCTCTGGCCAATGTTTTTTCTGCCGCAACAAAGCGGCCGCGTTGATTTCCTGTACAGCTGAAGCATTGCAGGCGTCCGAATTTCGCGTATTGTTTTTCGTTGCAAGTTGCTTGGGTTGGGGAAGTTTGCAGCTGAGATGGAAGTTGCAGGTTCGGAAGTTCTGCATTCCCTGGAGATTTTTAGTTTGTGCATTGCTTGACGGCAGAATCATGTGGTCGCTTGGTTGGGCTGTCGTTGGCAAAGTTGGGGATCCAGGCGAAGACCCTGTAAACATAGTAAAAAGCAGAGGCACTGAATGTGTATTTGTAAGAGGTTTATAGCCAATGGGCTTCCGGGCTGGCGGGGAGCGGTGGGCGATGATTCTTTCGGTTTGCGCTTTAAGCTGAAGCCGATGAGGGTTCAGATTGACAAGCCTGAGTGTCAGGATGCCCTGCCGAATCGTTCAGCACAAACTCCCTTGACCCGAAACCGTACATTTCTTTACTTCTTTGGTCATTCGGGGAGCGTTTGTATATAAGCTCAGAATCTGATTGGGGTTTACAACTCCAGCTGTAGACCGTCGAACATTAAGTATGCCTTATACTACTGTTTTGATTTTCCCTGAGACCGGCGAAGCCACTTGAACAAGCTCAGAGAAGCACCAGCAGTCGATGGCCTACGCTTCGCTAAATCCGAGGGGTTTCGGCAGCCG